CACTCATAAAACACTGAAAAACACAGTGGAGGGAACTTAAAAAGCCAAAAAAGCAAAAAGACACTACAGTACATGCACAAAAATGACTCCACCGGCAAACAAAACACACATATCCACTCTCTCTTCCGGACTACAGCTCCCAGCATCCCCTAGACCAGGCCCTTTAGGAGAGGAGGATGACCCAAATGCACTGCTTCCAAGCTGCAGGCTTTCTTCTTTGAGAGCATCCCAATCCCTGCATATTTCCAATTGTCTTTGAGAGCATCCCAATCCCTGCATATTTCCAATTTCCTATTCCTGGACTGCTAACTCCCAGCAACCCTCTAGATAGATAGATTAGAAAGAGATAGGGAGGTAGGTAATTGGGAGGTAGATCGATCAGGAGGACTGCTGGGAGTTGCAGTCCAAGAATAGGTAGAGAAGGATGGAAGGAGAGAAAGAGGAAGGGAAAGAAAAGGTGGGGGGAAGGAAGGTAAGAAGAAGAAAAAGGAAGGAAGGAGAGAAAGAAAGAAAGAAGAGAAAGAGGGAGGGAAGGTTGGCCACAGCAATGTGTGGAGGGTACAGCTAGTCTTTAATATGGCACCAGGAATTATTCATTATGATCCTTTGGGGCTCAGAATAAATAAGTTATTTGGAAATAGGAATTCTTCACAGAATTTCACATTATTCAATATCATCTGGTTAGTATAAGATGACTTCTAAAATACCAGTTTACAGTTTTCTGTGTACTTTTCAAATAGTATATACTTACGTTCACTAAAATATGTACATATCTATGACTATGGCCATAGTTATCCATGTGTCTGCTGTTGTACAAGGTGAGGCAGCAGAACTTCCTTTTTTCAAAACTTAATAAAACCCATTTTTTTTGTAATGTAGGCGCATACCTAAAGTTTTGTTTTATGTAGTTTTGAAGATCAAATTAGGTAGATGACGTTCCCCATTCTCCATTCTCCATACACTGAGTAAACCGATTTCTGGCATTTGTCATGACTCTTGCCAGCATAGCAGGCATTATGTTGGCAATTACTTCCTGGATGTTGGTCTTCAAATCTTGAGGGTCCTTGGACAGTTCACAAAAACATGGGATCTCAAAAAAACCCATAGAAAAAATCACAAGGGGCCAAATCTGGAGAGCGGGCCGGCCACTCCAAATCCACTCGAAAAGTAGGCCTCGATGGCAAAAGCACACTCCTCACTGTTCCAACACATGATGGTGACTGAACTGTGTCAGGACAAAACTTTATACTCCCGCCTCTCGAACAAGACTACTAGCGCTCCACTACGTCTTCAACCGACTGAATGACAAGCATTTTAAAAAAGGAAGTTATGCTGCCTCACCCTGTATATGACATGGAGATTTTATTATTCCTGTAGGTGGGAAAAGGGAAGGATAAACAAGGTATTAAAAAGAATGACAGTAAATCTACAGCAACATTTTAACAGCCTAATACGAGTGGCATGATGAAGCAGATATTCAGCAAGGATATTTGGGGTGCAATTAAGACTGAATGAGGCATATGACTTTCAAAGTAATTTTCTAATCTTTGCTAAATTAAAGGGGCATTATTATATTGGAAACATATACACTCTTAGTTTATCCAAATGTGAATATCTACTGCCATCCTGTGGCAGAAGCATGCATTCTAGCCAAACTATTGCCAAACAGATGATATATTTGACAGTGCTGGGTGTTTTATAATAGAAAGAAACATTTTACAAGGCAGTTGGACAAAATGTCAAGCTTTGTTCTTGGAGACCGATGCAGAGTTTTGGAAAAGTACTTGTTAGGCTCTAGCACTCAGAATCCCGTAGGCACCATAGCCAATCTGTATGCTATCTGGAGAATTCTTGGAATTAGTATACAAAAGTAACTTTTCTAGCCTCCACTGGGCTGTATTAATTTGCAGCTATTTCATCTGACAACTTCATAGGGAAAGATGAATCAGAAAGCACTCAGATATTGTTATGCTTGGGTGCAGCTGATGTTGATTCCTTCCAAATAGATTTTATGACTTCACCCAATTCCTTGTTCCCTTGTCTCTTGCCTTTTCAATAGTAAATGGAAACCACTATGGTAGAGTTTAGGAGAAAATCAGCATATACACATAGTAAGCAAATTAATGGAATAATGAATCTGAACCTATCTGTTTGTCTGGTTATGTCACGGGGGCTTTCTGTATTTTGAGTATGAGAGTTTGCTTAAAGAGTTACAAACTTTGAATTACATCTTTTGGAAAATCCCAATATCTATAGTAGAGAAACTCAAGCTGGATCTACACAGCTCCAATATCCCAGGATATAATCCCAGATTATCTTCTTATCCCAGGCTATCTAGCAGTGAAGACTCATATAATCCAGTTCAAAGGTGCCATCAAATCCTGGGATATAGAGTACTATAGATCCAGCCTCAGATGTCACAGAAAAATGGGAGAGGAGCATTAGTACATTCAAATAAGAATTTGATCTGTTCAGACAAATTTTCCTCCAATCTCAATTTTTCTTGGGTTACTGTCTTTACTTTTAACCTTTTTCATATTTAACAATTGCTGTTTAACATGTAATTTGAGATACCCAAAGCAATATGACAACATGCCTATGGCACATGATACAAATGTAAGTTTTTTCATATCTATAATGCTTGGATATGAGGTGTTTTGGATTTTGGAATAGCTGTATTTGTATATATGTATACAATGAGATATCTTGGAGACTGGACCCAAGTCTAAATGCAGCACTTGTTTATATTTCATATACACTTGAAGGTACACAATATTTTTTCTAATTTTGTGCATAAAAACAGAGGTGGTGCTATCTCACCCACCCACATGGGCAATTTTGGACGTTGGTATATTTTGGATTTCAGAATTCAGGTATTCCAAAATAAAAATAAAATGTCAAGCACTTGTGGTCTCAAGCATTTAAATAAGTGACTCTCAACATGTGTGTGTGTATAAATATGGAAGGAGATAAGTATTTTGGAAATTTTCATGAGCTCATATCTGCCTCAGCTATTCATTTTATTTTCTGGTTTTCTATTAACAAGATTTGCCATGATTGATGGAAGACTCTGAAGAGAATGTAATCACAGGAATGGAATAATTATTGAAGTCCAGCTTTGATATTCAGTGGGTTTGATCACTACAAAAGAGAGGAGACATTTTTGGCAGACTTCCATATGATGAGGTTGGGATTACTGGCCTAGAAATCATTAGCTCTCCAGCACAGAATTATAACCTGCCTTTTCTATGCCTGCCCCTGCAAAAATAAACATAGCTGTTCTGCCTTGGATGGTATCGTATCCAGGGCTTGGTGTTATCCATGGCAAAAGGATGGACTGGGCTATATTTTTCTCCAGGAGCCCTGTCACACTAGATAATTATAGTGGTATGATTCCACTTTAACTGTCATGGCTATATCATGTAGAGTTTGGAGCTTTGTAGTTTAGGGGGGCTCTCACATGTCTCAATCAGAAGTTTCTAAAATCCCACTTTCTGTAGGAAGCAGTCATAGAATCATGTTTTCTATATATTCACACACAAATTTAGAAATCTTAGTTTTAAAAAAACAACCTCCAAAACCTAAGTTGAATTTCCATGGATCAATGTGCATGCCTGGATGGGGAAATTGTGGCAATGGAGCCCAGGGACAGCAGGCTTCCTGAGGCAGAATTTGTGTTTTTCCTTCCCTGCAGAATGACCCTCGCCTTATCTACAGGTAATATCAGAATCCATATTTTTTGTCCTAAAACAGTGGTTCCCAACCTTTATTTGACCAGGGACCACTTTGACCAGGGACAACTCTCCAACATTAGTACCAAAGGGGTTACAAATTGGTTTTTGGTCAACTTTAGATTTGGTTTGGTTATTTGGGGTGCTGATTCAGAAAATTGCATTAATTAGACCACATCAGCTCTTGCTTCTGATACAGAACATATGCCATCCAGTAGTCTCCATCTGCTCACCCACAGAAAACCATATTTAATAATCAGGAGCTGATGTGGTGGTAGTAATCTTTCATGGATAGTCAACCTCCCCCCTCCTGACATTCCCATTGCCTTGGCACTATAAGAGGGTTTTATGAGACCAATCACTCTCATTGCCATGTGATTTCAAGGCAACGATGTAGCAGTGGTGAAGCTGCAGACCATATTTTTGTTTTTGCAGATCACTGGTGATCCACTGACCACAGATTGAGAACCACTGCTCTAAAGCCTGCTCACAACCTATATGTGAGGTGGAGAGCCCTTCCAGGACCTATATTCCAGGATCTAATCCCAGATTTTCTGCTTTGAACTGGATTATATGAGCCTGCACTGCTAGACAATATGGGATAAACAGAAAAACTGGGATCAAATCTTGGAATATAGGGCCTGCCTGGAAGGGCCCTGAGATATACATGAGTATATATGTTAACACCATTGTGTTGAGTACAAGACTCTTCAGATGTACAGGGCTTATTCTAAAATTGGGGGTGGGGGTGGGGATGGGACGGGATATGTAGAACTTTGATATAGTCTGGGGCCAATTTCGCAAGCCTTAAGCTCTGCTTTGGGTCTCTTTTCTTCTCCTACAAATGATCTGCTGAATCTTGGTAGCAAAATTATGCCACCAAATTTCAGCAACAGACTATAAAACACAATAGGGGAAAAATGAATGCAGAAGGGATCTAGGAGTCCTAGGAGACCACAAGCTGAACATGAGTCAATAGTGCGATGCAGTAGCTAAAATAGTCAAAGTTGAAAAGCTGGAATGAATCCTAAGGAAACAGGCTGGTGATGATTTTGGTTAGGAGAAATTGGGGTTTTAGTTCAACATATCTGAAAGGTTTCAGGCTGGCATTAGGGATTGTTTCATAATTTGCCAAATCTACTATTTTCGTCGCAGCTATTTTTTTTATTGTAGGCAGGTTTTAAAAAAATTGAAAAGTGTTATAAAATTGATTGTCATTTCCTTGTTTACTTCCCAATTTTCATGTCTTTCTTTCTTTTCTTTTTTAAGGGAAGAGAACACCAAAGACAAAGGACAAGAAAAAGAAGAAAAAGAATTTAATGGAAAGAGCCCAGAAGCAACACAGCCTCTTCTTATCTACAGACCGAGCTGGTCAATAAGAGACTTGAGTTGTCTGTCTGTACAAGTGGGATTATATCTATCTATATATATTTGTTCATATTTTTTGCAAAATGCACAGAAGCTGCTACCTGCTCCTGCACACAGATGCACTGCAATTCAGCTGCTTGGATGCAAATAACTTGTGGGGGTGGGCCTGGTTGGGGGGGGGAGATAGAGAATGTCCACAAGCTTGTTTGTGTTATTTATACTTTTATTGTTATTTGTTGTTCTTGTTGTTTCCCTCCCAAACCTGGAGATATCCAGGGGCAGAAGAAGCACACTGAGTTGAATCAGTGGATCTGTATCCCTGCTGCCTCCTCCATTTTTGAATTGCTTTGTTTTGCTTTTGCTTTTGTTTTAACTCAGTGCCTGCAAGATAGAAACAACCAGCTTCTTGGCCTAAAACTTTGCAGCAGGAGCATTGAGGCTGCAAAAAAAAAAAACATACCATTGTTTAATGGACTTGTGCATATTTATATAAGGAAAGGAGGCCGGGGAGTTAGGATTGCATTTATGGCCTTTTTTTCCTCTCGTATTGTAAATTTTCAAGAATAAATAACACTAAGCAGATATTCATAGATAATGTTCTTTGTCCTCAGCACCTCTTATATTGGGACAATTGTATAGTCAAACTGCTCCCAACTGATATATTGCAGGATTCGCTGCTTAGTATTTCAGGAGCACAGCAGTTCCCATGTGTCTACATATATATAAACCTATTTACAATATGCGCGTGTGTGTTTCCTTCCATGCATCTCATATTTCATATTCTGTTTTATATCATTTTAATTCTAGGAAAGGTTGTATGTTTTGGGGCATGGGGAAGATGGGTAATGTAAGGGTCAGTGAGGTGTTTTGGGAACCAAACTGTTGAAGGAAACGTCAGGAGATAATGCTTCTGGAACATGGCCATACAACCCAAAAAAACTACAACAACCCACTGTTGAAGGAGATTTGATCAGATAGAACCTTTTCTTATTGATGGTAGTTTGGCCTGTTCCCCTTCCTCTCTTTGGATTTCTTTCAGACAGTGAGCAACTGAGAATGATCAGGGTCCAAACTTCAAGTCAAACTTCATAATCAATCTCCTTTGGTTACACTGTACAAACATAGGGCTAAATAGACATGGAACCACACTACCATTAAAGAGAGCTTGGGTAATATATGAATTGGATCAGAGCAATGGTGTCAAAGGAAGAGTTAAACTTTGTTATCCAATTTTGCTAGGAAGAATTATTAGCCACCATTACCAGTCCTTCACTTTCAACTGCTTCAAAAGGCAAGTGCCTATTCTATCTCTTTTGATGCTGATATATTCTTCACAGTGTATATCAGGAGGAGGAGCTGAGGAGCCTTCTAACCAAAGTGAAAGAAGAAATGCAAAAGCTGGGTTGCAGTTAAACATAAAAAAACCAAGATTGTGGTACCAAGACTGATTGATAACTGGCAAATAGAGGGAAAAAACATGGAGGCAGTGACAGACTTTGTTTTTCTAGATGCAAAGATTACTGCAGACACAAACTGCAGCCAGGAAATCAGAAAGCGTTTGCTTCTTGGGAGGAGAGCAATGACCAATCTCGATAAAATAGTGAAGAGCAGAGACATCACATTGGCAACAAAGATCCGCATAGTCAAAGCAATAGTATTTCCCATAGTAACCTATGGATGTGAGCGCTGGACCATAAAGAAGTTGAGCAAAGGAAGATAGACGCTTTTGAACTGTGGTGCTGGAGGAAAATTCTGAGAGTGCCTTGGACCATGAGAAGTTCCAACCAGTCTAAACTTCAGGAAATGAAGCCCAACTGCTCATTGGAGGGAAGGATATTGGAGGCAATGATGAAGTACTTTGGCCACATCTTGAGAAGACAGGAAAGCTAAGAGAAGACAATGATGCTGGGCAAAATGGAAGGAAAAATAAAGAGGGGCCAACTCGTATATGCCTTCAAGTTGCATGTTGATTTATGGTGACTTCACAAATTTCTTCAGATTTTCTTAAGTCGCCGACTGGCTGAGAAAGGCAGTATACAAATACAGTAAATAATAAATTAAGGAGAGAATATCCTGAAGTGATTTTGCCAGTTCTTCTTATGAAGTACAGTCTACAGCATTTGACATTTATTTGTGGTCTCTCATTTAGACACTAACCATGATTGGCATTGTTTAGCTTCCAAGATGGGAAGAATCTAATATCTTTACGGTGTTTAGGCCTCACACAGAAGTAAAAGACTTATTTAGCACATTCCATATAAATCTCAAGTCACAAGTGACTATACAACTACACATTCAAAGTGGATTGATATCTTATTGTGAATGTCTTCCCAAATTGATTTTATAATTTTATCTTAACAATTGTTTCCTGAGATTCAAGTTGTTCTACAGCCTTTCATCTCTTCATGTTTTCCCATACACTGAAAGCAATATTTTCATTCAATGAGATGTTTGCATGGGTGAATGAATGGAAACTGAGTAAGAACTGGAGGTTGCAACTGTTAGAAAAAATAAAAAGCCAAACAACAAACCCATCAGACAACCAGGCAAAACCAAAATAATGATTTGGAATTAAAATGTGCTTGGAGTGTAAGGGAAAGGGATATGGAATAAATATTTAGGATTCACAAAAATCTAGTGCTGGTTTCATAGAAAGCTGGCATATATAATTACTGAGGCTTCTGAAGAGGCTTATTTGAAATACTCCAATTCAATTTGAGCTATTTGCATGGGCCCATCAGTCTCAGTCAAGAGTAAGAGACTGTAACATTAGGAGTGTGTCGCAAATGTTAACTGTCTCTGCTTGTAAAGATTGTTGGTGACTGGGAATTTTGGAAGACACATATTCATAGGGTCAACATGGGTTAAAGCAAACTTGACGAATCTCAACAGAATATAAAGAGTGCTGCAATTCAATCTGCTTCCTGCTCCACCTCTCCAGCATCATACATTGTGCTGCTGAACGGTGGGAAATCATCCTTTTCTGTTTACACTAGAATTTCCCTATATGGTTCTTTTGATCCAAACTGTAAGAAAAGCAATGAGACTCCACTTTTGGCCACAGAATTGGGGTTTGATCCCTGACAGATTTAATGATGAAACACAACAGTCTCTAGGGCCACATCTATACCAGCTGCTTGATTTGATTACAACTCCTGTGATGATGTGATGACATCCAGACAATACAAATGTGCCTAGATCACAGGGAGTTTCATGGCCTGCAGGGAATGGTGGCAGCGATGATACAGGGATGATTTGCCCTGGTAAGCCCAGAGACAAGTTCATGGTAGCAATGCCCATGTGGACAGTGGATCAGGCTGAAATGGACCTGATCCAGCTGCCTAGACACCTGCAAAGCCTTTAAGATATCCTGGAATTTCCAGAAAACCCTGAAATTTTCCCCAACTTGGCTTAAAGGAGACCAAGGCTGGGTTAAAGGCATAAAAATCTGGATACTTAACAGAAGTCCATACGTGTTATAAAGGCTACCAGCACCGGGTTCAAGGTGAGTACAACGCCTTTTATTTGTGTAAACAAGCCATAGTTCAGATTTTGTTTTGGAAAGCTACTGTTGATACTTTTTTTTTAAAAGTAAGGTGTTCTTAATTGTTAGTATTTTATATTTTGTTCCTTCTTATAACCCTTATTGATAAGTCAGCGGAACAAAAATAACTAAAAATGAGAAACCTTCTAATGTCTCCTGAAACATAGAAATGGCACTGCTTTAATTTTGGACCAAATGGCAAACTATTTCCCCCTTCTCAAGGATTATGTTGTTTCCTTTTGAGCATAGATGGGCACAAGTTTAAAATTGCTTCCACTGTCTCTTGTTCAAAAGTCCCTGATATTGGGATTTTTGTGAACAAGAAAGCTCATCTTCTGCAAATGTTTGCTTTCAGCCAGCTTTCCATCTTGAAAAAGGAGCTTCCATGTGGGAGAAGTGGGTTGACTGGAACAAAATTTCCTGCTGTAACAGCTCTAATTTCCCCTTCTGTGGCATTATCCCTGGGCCATCTGTTTCATCGCGTGAATCAAAACTGCCTGCCTGGTTTTTAACAGAATTGCAACATGGAACTTATAAAGCATTTTTTCCCCCCCCCCCCCCCCATACAGTCATTGGAAAGCTCAGTGGTTTGAGCATATAAGTGTCTTTAAAAGACTGGTGATGATCCCTTTCTCCTATTCTGACTTTTTCCTTTTGACTGGTTTTGTATGTGACAGGTATTGTTTCCTTATGGAAGGATTTCTTTTTATAGAGGAGATGAACATGTATTTGTAAAGAAAAAGCAAATAAGAGGGGGGGACTTTAAAATATGTATTAGGTGTTTTTGTGTGATTTTAAATTACCTGATTATTAAATATATGAGCTTACTGACTGAAAGGTTCAAATCTGAGGAGCAGGGTGAGCTCCCACTGTTAGCCCCAGCTTCTGCCAACCTAGCAGTTCAAAAACATGCAAATGTGAGCAGAACAATAGGTACTGCTCCGGCGGGAAGGTAATGGTGCTCCGTGCATCCATGCTGGCCACATAACCTTGGAGGTGCCTATGGACAATGCTGGCTCTTCGGCTTAGAAATGGAGATGAGCACCAGCCCCCAGAGTCGGACACAACTAGACTTAATGTCAAGGAGAAACCTTTACCTTTACCTTAGACATATAAAAAAGCATGGAAACAATGGAAACAAATGACTCATTTTGAAGTGCTTGCATCTATATATGCCTAGCTCACCAATGGAGGACACAATAAGACATTCTGGCCAAAATCCTGTATCAGCTTATACTTCATGAAAAACTTATCTGAGGGCATATCTACATGGTCATTCTATGGAGCATTTAAATTCTATGGAGTGAACTCTTTCATAACAACTTCCACCACTAATTATCCTGTGTTTCACCACTACTTTTCTTTTTCTTTTCTCTAATGCATACAGACACACATGGAGAGAAAGGAGTGATAGCTGCACAAGGCTTTGTAAATGGTAGCACTAAAAACTCCAAATAGTATCCCTTTTTAAAACACTGACTGTTGGCCCACAACTTCAGACTAGATCCCAAACTTTCTGCTGAAAAAGCCCCAAAGGCTCATAGTGTCATTGAGAACACACACACACAAACACACTGTGGAAACATACTGTCTGTCACAGTTATACAACTTTGTTTTTCATGGATCAGATCCATGATATAATACACACTGTTCACAAATGTTGTTTCAATGTCCGTCTCTATTGGCAAGATGAAGGCTTCAACCATGAAATCAGGCTTTCTACAATCCAAAGTCTCTGTAAGGAGGTTTGGAGAGGGAAATGAAGTAGAGTGTTTTGACAGATCAGGGTACAGCCATAAATTTTGATTGAATTGAAAATGATGCTAATTGGATTTGGATTTGTGCTCTAAAGCAGAGTTGGTTTTTGGCAATATCAGGCAAAAAGAACACAGAGAGATTTATTCTTCCTTCTTGTGTGCCATCTTTCTTACTCTCCTTGCCAAGGCTTGTAACCCATCACAAGAAGAACTATCAAATGAGACAAATGGAAAGATATAGGAAAGGTCGTTCCTGGCAAGAATGCTTGAAGAACTTAAACTACACAAAGCCTTATATAATTCACACCTCTGTGATCCTTCCTTCCCTCCCTCCCTCCCTCCTTCCTTCCTTCCTTCCTTCCTTCCTTCCTTCCTTCCTTCCTTCCTTCCTTCCTTCTTAGAAAATCTAGGACATTATTCAAGATGCATTGCCCACACT